CTGAATATGACGCAGGAATACTAACCACTTGCCGCGATTTTCGGTCATAGTACATTGTGTATGCAGTATGTCTGAATAAGCCTAAGTTTTCTAGCTAAGAATTTTAGAATTTTTGTACTTTTCTCATAATCTCAGGTTCTAATTTCCTTTTAGAGGCCTCAATTCTGTGTTAGAAGTTTTCTTAGTTTTTCCCAGTCTCTATTACGCTCGGACAGTAGACCTACATTATATTAACACTTCCATTCATAACCTTCCAAATAAATTAATAAACCATGATTTGTTAGTGTTTACTAAACAAACTAATATCTTTGCATCTCTTTTGACGACAATAGTCTGTAAAGGTGATGAATCGTTGTAAAACATTCATATTATTCATCAAATATGAAAGCAATTTGTGTTTTAACAGCACTAAGAAAATCATTTATTGCAATAAGCATTTCTTCAGCAGTCAATATATCCATCTGCATACCAGCGGCGTAAACTAGTCCGGATTTCCGTAATAGTAATGTTAATGATGCTATAAATCAATTAAGTGTAGAAATCATTTTCCCTGAGCCACGCAGTATCGATAACAAACAGCGTGCGACTAGTTACGCAGGCATTGTCCACACGAAGGCAAGACACCACTAAATCACTCGTTCAATATCTATTTGCAGTTTTTATCCGCACTTTGTTTCCGTCCTGTGTCATGAACGATTACATTGCGGGTAGCACGACTTACCCCTGTCCTGTATAATTAACGACACTTTAGTGTAACAGCGACATAAGTTACAGCTAACAATCTCTTCAGCCAAATTACGCATCTGCGAAACGTTCAGTGTTTCGATGATTGTGGAGCATCGTCTCGATAAAGTATTGAGAATTCTCTTGACCTCATGATGTTAACACACATGCTGTTTAGTCACCCAATATATTCCAAAATACTATTTCGTCATCGTCCGCAAATTTCGGAACTGTATAATAGCAACAATTCCTCGACTTTAATCTCTTCTGTACATTTAAAAATATCTTGCAGTTGAAAATGAAGAAATCACTACAGCTCTTCCTATATTTAAGACACTTTTTGTAATTGGAGTCGCTACATGTCACGATTTCACCACATCCTTACATTTACATGTAAATAACTGTCATAATATGAACATTTTTTCTTTCTTTTTGCAAAAGTCAAACGCTGAAAGCTTCTCTGAAATATGTTGATGCACCTGCCACAATCCATACCAGGATGTAGGTGAATGTTCTTAAACAATAACTCATAAACTCCGTTTACCAATTTCCTTTCGCGTCTTATTTAACGATTCGGTTAAATTCAATTTAATGCAGTTCATTTGTTAATATGCTTTAAAATAACAAAACAACGCCAAATTCGGCCAAGCACTACAACAGAAAAGATAATATTATATAATAATGCCTGACGCGAAATCTGTTTAACGCATGTAACACGTATTAAAACAAAATGTATTTCAGAAATAGCTGCTGCTCTAACCACCTCAAGGGAAATGTTTGTCTCAGGTACATAGAAGTAAATACCCTGTAAAATGGTGAATAACAATAATAATGCTTATCTTCATAGATTGTTTACAACCACAAGGCAATAGTAAGGGTTGTTATAAATACCAATTTTAGAAAGGAGACGAAAAATGAAACTGTATAAGCAAGTGAATTTTCTTGGAGGCAATACATCCGAAGTAAAATATAAAACAACCTGACAGTTTTGAACTAGAAAATTGACGTCAATACAACCGACGTGGGGCAGATTGTGTCCAATTTTCTTCACAACAAACGTTCTCTATCACTGATCATATATTTAATGTCACTCACGTAAAAGGTTGGTTCCATAACCACCAAAATCAATGATGTATGTAACAACCACGTTTGGTACAAACTATAATATGGATAGGACTTTAGGTAACTGTTACATATCCGTGTTCGACGTAACTTCGGTATGAGAAAAGTTTAACGTACACATGATGCTAAGTCAGCCACCAGTTAAAAATCATGATTGAGAAATAAATACGATCTTAAACGGTACAGATCTCTGAAGGACTGTTAACACGATGGCAAAAATATGTTATAAGACGATAGAAATCTTTAAGAACTAGCTTCCTTTAAATCAAGAAATAAAGTGTTCACTTACGCCACTGATGCGCTCAAGTGTCGTGTGTTAGTAACCCAACAGTACGGTAGATAATATTTAGATATTATCACATCGCAGAAGTTGATATTGGAAATGAAATTAGGGGCATTACGTAAACGCCCAAACAACAATTATCTGTCAAAATACATTCCGAATATTTGCATTTTTTCTTTTATATCGATAAGTAATTTCAGTTGTAAGCTGTACATAAGTGTTTCTGTATAAAGTTAAATTGCATTTATTCTCAAAATATGACAACATATATGTAAATTTATGTTGATTGAACGTTACTTTAATTACTAGAAGGAATACTGTTCCCACATATTTCATTGCAACACAAAGAAAAGTTATCCAGAAATTTCTAACTGATCACAATTTATATTATAGTCATTCATTCTATATACGCGGAATGTCGCGAATTAGTCGTTAAAAATATTTCTTCGTATTCGGAGACTCCCAGATTTAAATCTCAACCCTAATAACGGATATTCTGAGAGGTTTTTGTTTTTTAGACAGTCCCTTCAGGGAAAAGGCGGAATAATATCTTAAATTATGTCGCGATTATGTATTTCTATATCTCTCCCCATCCACTATTCATGAATCATTCTATCATTAGATGTTATATAGTTTAATCTACTGACGATGGAGTTCAATAAATTATATAATCGATTTTAATTTGTCGAACTTGTCTCTAGGTATTTAAAACTTGGCCCAAAACCATACGCAATTAGAAATTCCTGTGTGTCATTTGCAGTATGCCTAGCAACGTACTAGAATAACAGATAATTTCTTGGACACGGAGGAATATAATATGTCCCCTGTCTCCTTGTGTCTTTTATGAGCGTTGGCTGCCATAACACCACATACGGCGCAATGCATAAAATGATCTGCTTTGTGTTTAAAAACTTACAACCACGCGGTACTACGCGATAAATGGGCCTATTATAAATTATGTGTCATGTCACATATACTTCCGTTTTTATAACTTAATTTAATGAAAGCCTAACAATGAATAATTCAGTGTTTTGTTTTTGTTGGGGATTTAATTCCTTGTACCATTAATAGTTTGAAGTTGCCTTTAGAAAGGAAATAATTATGCATTATACACAGGACAAAATCAATATAGTTTAAATAGCGATTCATACAAAACTGATATTTAAATTAAAATAATTCTGTAAATTCTGAAGATATCGGTAGAAAAATAATTCTGACATTACATTCAAGAAGCGGAAAGAGGCGAACAACAAATAATCCTAGAAAATACATTTTATGAATGAAAATACTTGTTACTGGTGTGCAAATGCGGTACAATTTTATGAAATGTGTGCTTCAGTAATTTGTAAGTATTTTTTAAATTGCAGATCATATCAAAAAAAGTACTTCTTGAGATTCCTTCGTTTTTTTAACTTGACTTTTCGTTTCTCATCGGTGACTCAAATATACTATATTCCGCTTATTTGCTAATCCACTTAAGAAGCATTTTCTCTCTCCCTTCCATCTTCAATTTTTTGTTCAATGGATTAGTTGTGCTGGCCACTTATAATTTCTTATTACTCACATAATAAATTACGTCAGAATTATTAACGTCGTACACATTAATATGTGCTTCCTTTTTGTCATTATTTGTACTCTTCAATTAAATTACTTATTATAAGTCAGTTACATCAACAGCCCTACAGTCAATTACAGATCAAATTCAGAAGGGTGTAATATGTACATTAGAAAGTACTGAAGTGATACAAAATTCGTACATTTTAAGTATGATCACTTGGAAGACATAGACGTAGATGGTATCGTAATAAAATTTGTGTTAAAATATCGGGTGGAAGGGTGTGGACTAGATTTAACTGGCTCAAGACACGAATTTCTTGACTGCCTGAGTGACTATCAGCTTCTCAATGAAAAATAGGTCTGTAACACTTATCAGTAAGACAGCAACGTCCTTCTTTCATTACACGGCTTAATCACAAATCACTCATGTGTCCTTACGTCCACAGACACAAGTAAGATACATAATACTGATTAATTTATCGTTAAGATCCCATATAATCATATTTCCAATAATATATGCCTCAGTTCCGTTAGATTCCTTTTGTGTATCACATTGCCTGTAATGGGCAAGGTCTATGGGGTAAGGAAATGTGAGGGGGTGTGTTTCGGAAGTCACGTAATGCACGTGTAGTTTTATCCGATTTCACATTAACCCCCCACCCCCTCCAGAACCAATTGACCCCTGTACACATAAGCGTGTTGTACTGGGTCCCATCAATCATTATTATGTCTGACTTTACTAGTACGTACTGCATATAATGGAGGAATATCTGTGGGGGTTAGGGATGGGGTGAGGGGTGAGGGCAAGTGCACCCAACAGATAGGCCGACAAGACTAGATACATAATGTCACAATACAAATATAATGCCTTTTTTTTTCAATCTAAACCAATAGGGTCATGTTTTAAACTGCGCGTGCTCTAATAGGCGGAGACATGAAACGAAAACAGTTATGCTATTGGTCGACATGAATCGGTATCTTTTGCTATTTCATCCTGTGTATTAGTTGCTGCAAGGAAGAATGAGATATCACCATAACAAATATCATATCTTATTCTAATTTAAATATAATATAATTTTATCATAAATTTTTATATCATTCTTGTCATTTACAGCAACTGTACACTTCATAAAACGCACCAATCAAACAAATTTACATAGTATTTACTGAATAGTAAATACTACGTAAATATCTATTCAGCTTCCACACGTCGAGACTTGAACCGCTTTTATCCGCACTTCTCCTACGCTAATTGTAATCGCTGGTACAAGTAACTTGTTGTCTAGCGACCCGATGCCTTTCCTGCAGACTTCTGTATTGTTTTACGTGGCAGTACGTGCTCTGGGGTGTTTGTAATGGTTTGAGCGGTTTCGCGTGCTGTCAGAAACGTCAACTGATTTCTTTTGCCAACACTTCGTGTTAGCATACAATTATGGGGACACACGTCCACTGTAACAGTGCAATGTCGGCGTTTTCAGCTCTTCATCTCCTGAGGAGTTACAACCACTTTCTAGGACCAGCAGGTAAGATGAAGTCCTTCGTCCAATGCACTATCTGAAGCATCTCTGTAGCTTATGTTTGTTTTGAGCAGTATATTGTTTGGGAAGAAAATTAAATTAACGCTTTCATCTTAGTGACGTACTTCCATTGGGAAGAACTAGGCGTAGACTGGAGGATAATATTAAAATATATATTAAAGTAGCACGTTGTAAACTGAATTCAACTGCCTCAGGATAGAAATCAGCACAGATCTCTTGTGAGTAGGGTAAAGAAATTTCTAGTTCTACAAAAGGCCTGGAATTTTATCTAAATTTGAAGGTTTCTGACATTAGTGCATTGTAATATGCAATATTGTTTTCCTGGACTTTGTCCAGCGTCTAAATTATAAAACTATAATATTTAGAAAGCTGTTTATGTCTTAGGATGAAAAAGATGGAAGCCATAAAGCCTGTCTGTTGGACCCCGTGGCCTGAGACCGAAAGAACACTTTTACTTATAACGAGAATTTCATATTTATCTGACAGACTATCATCTTTTTAATATGATTTGACTCAATGGAGATACTGATTACAGCGTTTCATATGAGTAATTCAGAGTTATGAAACAGTGTAAAAGAGATAAGTGAAATCTGACAAAATTACTTTGAAGTATTTATTACATTTCAGTTGTTACATGCATCTTCTGCTCATAAATATCAATATAAGACAAGACAGTAATGTGTCAAAGCGCTCGGACACTTACGTTACAGAACTAATTAACTGCCTAATTATGTCCACGGTCTTCGTATGGGCAACGGAATCCTTGCCTTTTATAGAACCCAAATAATAGTTTACGTGCTCACAAATGCCGGCGACTGGAACACATCCTGAAATATTTTGATCCAATCCACACACTCTCACTATTTATTTAAATTCAATTTTAATTATATCCCTCCATCTACGCCTAGGTCTAAGCGTCAGACAACTGCAGCCTATAAAAGACAGGCTAGTTACTTGGAAATGTACCGATGTGGGAATGCTGACTACGAAAGAAATCAACCTGATTTCCGCGTACATGTTAATTGATTTAAAAAATTCTAATCCGTTCTAGTGCTGTTACACTTTTTTTAAAAGAAAAAGCAGCCCCAAGAAAACCAACAAATCGCAGAAGCCAGAGACTGTTAGTGTAAGAAACGTTCAGTTAAATCCCACGGGTATAAAGCTGCTGTTAACGGGACTCGTATGTTCTACATGAGTTTGCAACATCTCTGTCCATGCAACCCGCCATTCATAACAAAGTCGACAAGTCGCTGGCAGAAACTTCTGCGAGTTTTTAATGCAAAAGTATTAATTGTTGGTTCATTTTCTTACCTTTGTATCTTCGCCCTCTTTCTGCCAGTGAAACATCTCAGGTGCGAGTACGACAGTGTCCACAATATTTCGTCCGTCCTCAGCCTACCGCAGGGCTAGTTGTTAAGTCGACTTCACACTAGGACGTACTGATGAGCGGAAGAATCACTGTGATGGTTTCTTTTCAGAGTTCTGTGCATTCACCGCGTTCACTGTTCACTTTACACAAAGCACGTGGTTAAGTCGCTTCTTTACCTCAGTGTTTCGTGCACAAACTTATGTTCCCGAAATTTTAAAGCACACCAACAGATTACATGTTCAGTAAGAAACAACAATAAAACTGTTTTCTACGGTATGAATTCTTTTAACAATTATTAACAACTTGTTCTTCAAGAAAGGTTTAACTGGAAGACCTCTGCTGGATTATCAGTCAGTTCGCCATGGCTGCTGAAAATCGGAACCTACAATCAGAATAAAGACAAAAAAATCAGTTAATATCTTCTTAAAAATTAGTATTACTGGGTTTTGGGGCTTTGTCCAACCGAACAGAATACATTGTTTTGGAAATTTAATCTGTTCCGTCATCAGGTGACGTGCAGGCACCTGAAGGAGGAAACAGATCCACTTTTGGAAAGGTGCGCTGTTTCAAATACAAGACCGTGGTCACTGTATGGAAACCCAGCAACGGGCCTTCTAACTGTGTAATAATTTGCCGTCGTCAGGACCCAAGAACTTTACTCAGAAGTCGATAGTGACACAGTTCGTTAACAAATCCTCCACATTTTATGGAAACCAAAGTTTATTACAATTTTTATGGGAGCCTGCCACTAAACCCTTTCCTGCCTTAATCTATTCTAATCCACACACACGTGGTCTCATCCTTCCAGTAATTCATGCAAAATAATTATTATTTTTTAATGACAAGTTATATCATTGACCTAAATACAAACTCTAAACAGAATTTTTAAAATCTACAAAATAAGACAAAGAGATGAAACATAATAATTACATAATAATAACTCAAATTTTAAACAAAAATAGATAAAAATTAAATAAACTATTGACTCATAATGTTCCTCGCTTCCCAGTGTCTATCACATTCTGTCATGCAAAATAATTCTGCTTATAAAAATATATTTTATAAAATGACAAATATTAAAATATATTCAATAATTTCTATAATGAAGATTTCTGTCTTCTGGGTTGTTGCGCTGTCTAGTCTGGTCGATGTTTACCGACGTTTCTGAGGTCATACTGCCTCCGTCATCAGGGCGATACTACACGGCACAACAACCCAGAAGACAGAAATCTTCATACTCTGATGACGGAGGCAGTATGACCTCTGAAACGTTGGTAAACATCGACCAGACTCCACAGTGCAACAACCCAGAAGACAGAAATCGTTATACTCACCGCTGTGAAAATCTCAAATCATACAATTTCTATAATATTTATAAAGAGAAAGGATGGTAAATGAATTTAGATCTACTAATTGTTGTTTATATAACGACGTCTGTACCTTAAATGTGTCAAATGTTAGGGTTGTTTATTAGTAGTGAATCGGAAAGGACATGTACAGAAGGGGTTGTTGACTAATTCACTGAACTAACTCAGACTTTACCTGAAGGGGCTAAAGAAAACTACAACAAGAAGTTGTCACGTGTTCTCCGGGTTGAGTTTTGAACCCTGGAACTTTCGAAAACGAAGCACGATAAATTTAGTACATTATTAAGTAACCGAATATAAAGTAGAATTAACACCCGAAACTCATACTAATTGGGTTATTAAATGGCCATACGCAAAGTTAACCCTGTGCTTCGTAATGCCTGAATAGTTAACTACGTCTGGTAGCACAAAGAAAGTCTGAACTCATTAAAGGAAGGAATGCGGAATTATAGTAAACATGACTAAAGTTTCTGGACTCCTCTTCAGTATCGATAAGACAGACGTATTAATAGGACGGATATTTTAGGCGGGAGGAACCCGATGTTCATCAACATCGTACAGGGTTGTGCGTTATAAGAATTTTTGCAACATGTGCTTATTACTAAAAGTAGACATTTTAAAATATAAAGTAAGCAAACAAACAAACTATTAACACTATAAATGACACTAGTGCCAAAAGCGTTTCTAGCGTAGTGTTGCTTGTTATGGTTTTGTAAAGAACTCTACTTCATGATTTGTTTTTTAAACCATTTTTAAACCATTTTGATTATACGAGGTGCGATCGGAAAGTTTCAAGACTGTGTCAATAGAGGGCGAACCGGATGTAGTACGAGCATCTGCCGCTAGGGGGTGCGGCCTACATTCATAGTGAATCAGTGTGCCAGCCGGCATCATCGAATTAGCATTTGTTTCTTAGTTACGGGCGTTTTGGTAGTGCATTACACCGACCCTCCTGCGATTTCGGAATGGCGTGGGCATCAAATTTTGCCAAAGACTCGCCAAAACGGCTAAGGAAACCTATGAAATGCTAAAGCAAGCATTTGGGGAAATACTTCGAAATGGGTCGTGCACAAACTTTTGTGAGGCATTC